CCTAAAAAATAGTTATAACCAAAACTTAATTGAAAAATGTTGTAATATATATTATTTTAAAGTTAAAAATGTTATAATTTTTAATTACATCAATATTATTTCTGTTTATTTTTTATAATTTACAATACTGTCTATTATAAGTAATTTAATTTCATTCCTAATCAATTAATTTATAAACATTTTGATGTTGATTTATCACTATAATTTATAAAAATATACATTATAAATACTTTTTTTCTAAGTTAATATTTGCATGGACAGTTTGACAAATGGTCCGTTGAGTTATCATCATAATTTGTGACAATATATATTATAAATATTTATTTCTAAACTTATAATTTGCATGTCAATTCGACAAATGACTCATTGGTTAATCATAATTTATAACAATAAATATTATAAATATTTAGATTCTTTATAATCAAATTATTTACATGATAGTTCAAAAATTGGCAGTTGATTTATCATTTTCATATCGTATATACATGATCCCAAAAGTAAATGTTTCCTTATAATTTTATATGTTTAGCATTAATTTGTTAAATCCGGATAAACATACCAATTACTATTTTGGATTATTTTATACAAAACATATTATCTTATGAACATGCTATATTTTATCGTATCAATAAGAGCATCCACAATGCTTTGAGTCTCTTTTTGCATATGTGGCAAATAAATAGACTTAAGTCCATAATGACATGGACAAACCTAAACTAAAAAAACCAAAATCAATCCAATGCAAAACCAAAAAGTACTAGGTCTAGAATACATGACAACCAATAAAAATGTTCTAGTATATTTCATTTATTAAAAGAAAAATTAAATGAGGAATAAATGATGAGTGCTTGGGTTTGTACTTGGGTCTAAAATAGACCCAAGTGTGGACTAGGTCTCATTTTTTTATTGCCACATAAGCTAGACTAGTTCCACTTTTAATTGCATTGGAGAACACTTTTTTATAGACTAGGTCTATTCCTTACATGGCATGTAACTTTTTTCTAAGAAACCCAAAGCATTGTGGGTGCTCTAAGAAATCAAGTGATTTGTTATTAATGTTGATGAATAAGATATTATTGTAATATTCTGATAAATCAAAATAATATTCCATAACTAATTTTTATTTTGTTGTGTAATTATATTGGAAATTTTATCATGCATACCCGAATGATATTTTCTACCGACAAAATATATTAGTTGCTTTTTTGAAGACATTGTAGAAATTCACAAAATATGGTTTTGTTACAAAAAGAATAAGAAAGTGCATTGACTCGTATCGAATTTTAGTTGTGGTAATTATCACAAAATAACTTTCGACATTGATACCACTTTATTTATATAGAAAGTCATGTTATTAACTGAATTTCATGATTTAAATATGTATAATTTAATTTTTATTATTCAAAATACGAAGCATTTTTTTTGCTATATTTCCCTTAATAAAAAGTCAACCAATTTAATCATAAAATCAAAGTTACTATTTAAAATAGTTGAAACAACCTCTTTCAGTATACTAGTACGTAGCCCGTGCGATGCACGTGGCAATAATTATAAATTGTTTGTATAAAAGCAATGAAATATTGATTAGTATAAAAATAAATATTAACATTATTTTTTCTTTTATTTTATGATATATAGGCCCCGTTTGGAAGATAGCGGATTGAAGACAAATTAGCGGATTGGACTTAATTGAGAGGTTTGACCCGTCAAATCCGCTATTAAGCTTGTTTGGTAAATAGCTTATTTTATAAGCTTTTTGGGCCCAAAACTCTAATTTAGAAAAAGCTCATTAGAGGAGCTTTTTGGGATAGAGGATTCACAATCTACTATTTTAATTTGGAACTTTTTAATTAGTATTATTTATTTTACAATTTACATTGGTTTATGGTGCTAATAAATAATAACATGTCATTCATATGATTAATTTATCTTGAAAAATATAAAATTTATAACTTCTTAATCAAGTGTTAGTAAATTTAAAAAAAAAAATAATATATTTATAAATTACCAACTAAAGAATATTAAATGTTTTAATATATTATTATTAAAAGAATACACCCTAAATAATAAAATTGTCCTTATTGGTAATTTGCAATGTCAAACAGCTATAAGCTTTCAGCTATTTACCAAACACTTATTTAAAAACCGCTAATGCAATTCGCTGGTCAAATCAGCTAATATAATCCGCTATCCGCTATCCGCTAATACAATCTGCTATTCGCTATCCGCTATCCGCTGATCGCCAAACAAGGCCATAATAATTTAATATATGATTTATATCTATTTCACTCGTTATAAAATAAGCTGTCGTTTTACAGTTTCTGTTTATATAATTAAGGATAATAAAAATTTAAAATATTTAATCATTATCAATAAATATTACTCACATCTCTCTCTCTCTCTCTCTCTCTCTCTCTCTCTCTCCAATACCTTATTACAATATATTATATCGATTTCTAAATAAGTAATGATGAGGTTAATCAAACTTACTTGAAAAGATGGTAGGTTACACAATTTATATAGAAAGTCGTTGTATTAAATTACACGATTTACAACATGTAGGTATAAGTTGAATTTCATTTTATT